TTTTTAATGTACATAGTATTCTTTGAACAACACAATACTCAAAAAGATGTTTTTAATTTCTCATAGAGAAATAAGGATTTTGCAGTTAAGCTCTGCCTTCTTGACTCACGACAAATACAAAAAATCATTACAATTGAGATAGGGCGGGTGGGCGGGGCTATATTTTGACTTTTTTTTGTCTTAATATAGATAGTCATCTCACAACAAAAAACTTAGAATATGGTTAAAATGGAATAGACTTCGTCCCATAATTGCAAAATACATATTTCCTTGCAAAAACCATTTTAACCATGTTTTAAGTTTCTCGTTATCAAAAGATGCCTATGTATATTAAGAAAAAAAAAAGCAAAATATATCCCCCGCCCACCCGCCCTATCTCAATTCTGATGATTTTTTTAATTCGTCGTGAGATAAGAGGGCGGAGCTTAACTGCAAAATCTCTACGTGAAATTAAAAATATGTTTTTGAGTACCATGTTGTTCAAATAATACTATCCATACTAGGAGATGGAGGGATATATACGTATAGAGAAGGATATGACATAGAAGGTTATAGACAAACATAGAAGGATATAGAGGGATATACACATATACAGAAGGATATATACGAATCTGAAAGATATAGAAATTGCTAGTTTAAAAATCCCCTCAAAAGATGAGGCTTTCCTCCATTATTCTTGATCCTAAAGCTAAAATAAACACAGGTTTGTGATCCTGAAAAATTTCCGTTTAGATAGACCGGACCGATTTTAGTAGTTCTAAAATTTTGTCAGAAAAGGGAAATTTTAGAAAGATGTAGATGGATGTAGAAAGCTATAGAAGGACATAGAGAGATATAGAAAAATATAGAAAGATATACAGACCGATATAGGAAGATGTAGACAGACATAACTTGGATATAGAAGAATGTAGAAGAATAATTTAGAAAACTATAAAAGGATTTAGAAAAATAGATCAAGATGAACAAGCATATAGAAGGATGTAGAGGTTTACAGAAGGATATAGACGAACATAGAAAGATATGGAAGGATGTACACAGATACAAAAATTGAGTAGTTTTAAATTCCGTCAAAAACGGGATTTCAGAAAGATATAGACGAATATAGAAATATATAGAAGGATATAGAGAAATATAGAAAAATATAGAAAGATGTAGACGGATATAGGAGGATGTACACAGAGATAGTCGGATATAAAAAGATTTAGGGAGATATAGAAGAATACAGAAGGTTATAGACAGATATAGACAATTATAGAAAGATAACGACGTATATAGACGAATTTAGAAAGATATAGAAGGATATAAGAAGATAGATCTAGATGAAGAAGCATATAGACGAACATACAAAGATATGGAGGGATATATACGTATAGACAAGGATATACACAGATATAGAAGGATATAGAAAATATACAAGTATATAAGAAGATAGATCAAGATGAAGAAGTATATAGAAGGATATAGACGTTTACAGATGGATATAGAAATACATAGAAAGATATGGATGGATATACACAGATACAGAAGAATATATACGGATGTAAAGGATATAGAAATTGCGAGTTTTAAAATCCCGTCAAAAGATGGGGCTTTTCTCCTATATTCTTGACCCTAGAGCTGAAATAAACACAGATTTGTGATCCTGAAAAATTTCCGTTTAGATAGACCGGACCGATTTTAGTAGTTCTAAAATTTTGTCAGAAAAGGGAAATTTTAGAAAGATGTAGACGGATGTAGAAAGCTATAGAAGGACATAGAGAGATATAGAAAAATATAGAAAGATATATAGACCGATAGAGGAAGATGTAGACAGACATAACCTGGATACAGAAGAATGTAGAAGGATAATTTAGAAAACTATAAAAGGATTGAGAAAGATAGATATAGATGAAGAAGCATATAGAAGGATGTAGAGGTTTACAGAAGGATATAGACGAACATAGAAAGATATGGAAGGATATACACAGATACAAAAAAGGGATTTCAGAAAGATATAGACAAATATAGAAATATATAGAAGGATGTAGAGAAATATAGATAAATATAGAGAGATGTAGACGGACGTAGGAGGATGTAAACAGAGATAGCCGATTATATAAAAAGATTTAGGGAGATATAGAAGAATACAGAAGGTTATAGAGAGATATAGACAATTATAGCAAGATAATGACGTATATAGACGAATTTAAAAAGATATAGAAGGATATAAGAAGATAGATCAAGATGAAGAAGCATATAGACAAACATACAAAGATGTGGAGGGATATATACGTATAGAGAAGGATATACACAGATATAGAAGGATATAGAAAATATAGAAGTATATAAGAAGATAGATCAAGATGAAGAACTATATAGAAGGATATAGATGTTTACAGATGGATATAAAAAAACATAGAAAGATATGGAGGGATCTACACAGATGCAGAAGTATATACACACATATGGAAGGATACTTCTATTACATCGTGGGTAGAGTGGAAGAACAAACACGTGAACTCTACCTTTGTGTCCATTAGGTTAATTTAGTTTAATATTGTAATTGTTCTGTTTTTTTCCCATTCATTTTATCCACAATTTTATATATGTTATTGTGTTTTTTTCTTTTTTGTCATAAATTCTTATATTATGTATGTATCTTATGGACGCCATAAATTCTATTCTATTCTATAGAAATTAGGTAATTTTAAAATTCCGTCAAAAAGTGTCCATTATTCTTGATCGTAGAGCAAAAATAAGCACAAATTCGTGATTCTGAAAACCTTTTCGTTTAGATAGACCACACGGATTTTAGTGGTTTTAAAATTTCGTCAAAAAACTGGATTTCAGAAAGATATAGACGAATATAGAAGTATATAGACGGATATAGGAGGATGTAGACAGACATAGCCGGATATAAGAAGATTTACGCGGATTTAGAAGAATTTAGAATGCTGTAGAGAGATATAGACGATTATAGAAAAATAATCAAGGCGAATAAAAAAAATCATCAGAATTGAGATAGGGCGGGTGGGTGGGGCTTATATTTTGCCTTTTTTTTCTTAATATACTTAGCCATCTTTTCATAACAAGAAACTTAAAACATGGTTAAAATGGTTTTTGCAAGGAAATACGGATTTTGCAATTGTGGGGCGGAGCCTAATTGCAAAATCGATGTTTCCTTATACAAATTTTCTATTTTGAACATGTTTTAAGTTTCATGTGAAAAGAAGTCTACACATATTAAAACAAAAAGGCAAAATGTAAGCCCCGCCCACCCGCCCGATCTCAATTGTGATGATTTTTTTTATTCCTCATGAGCCGAGAGGGCGAAGCTTAACTGCAAAATACTTATTTTTTTACAAGAAATTAAAAACATGTTTTTGAGTATCGTGTTGTTCAAAGAATTCTATGTATATTAAGAAAAGAAGGCTAAATATAAACCCCGCCCACCCACCTCATCTCAATTATGGTGATTTTTTTATTCTTAGAAACTTAAAACACGTTTAAAATGGTGAATTATTGTCAAGAAATATGGATGTTGCAATTAGGCTCCGCCTCTAGGTCTACCAACAAATGAAAATTTCATTATTATTAAGATCAGGGCAGTTATGGGTGGAGCTTCTTAATCTTTGACTTTAATTTTTTCTTAATATATGCACATAGTATTTTTTGAATAATACAGTACTCAAAAACATGTCTTACATGGTAATTTGTCGTAGCAAAATAAGGATTTTACAGTTATGCTCCGCCCCTAGACTTACGACGAATAAAAATGAATCATCAGAATTGAGATAGGGCGGGTGGGCGGGGTTTACATTTGGCCTTTTTTTTCTTAATATACATAGCCACTTTGCATTTCAAACTTATGACATGGTTAAAATGTTTTTTGCAAGAAAATATGAATTTTGCAATTATGGGGCGAAGCCTAATTGCAAAATCGATATTTCCTTATACAAATTTTCTGGAAAATGTGAGAATACGCTCGTCTTTATAACAATAAAACAATGATAAAGTAAGAATTATAATAATGACATTCAGAATATTTTGTTCGATGGAGGCTTATGAATAATTTTAGTCATCTGTTTTGGGGCGATAAACTCATTCAAATCAAACAAATGTCTACGTGACATTCTTCCGATGTAATGTATTCCCGTGGATAATGTGCTGTAAATAACTTTTTTGCACTCATAACCTTTTTTGATGACCTTGGTTCATTCGACATTACGTAAAAACTGGCCCCTGTGCCATGAATAAGTACAAACAAATAACGTATGTATGTATGGACATTAAGGTTAAAAGAAAACGAACAGGGTCATAGAAGGTGAAAAACGTATGGATTCGCACACCTTGAGGGCTAGGTTATTCTAGGATGATCCCGGAACTTGGGTTTACATTTACAAATTACATCTTTAATATTATTTCTCGTACCAAACTCTTCTTCATTATTGTCCAGTGATTGTCTTTCCAACCTATCCCTTTTCTAAAATATCCACGCAAATTCGCAATCATCCCACCTATCCCCTCAATCAAGCATTTTTCTCTCCACCACTTTCCCCTACACGTGCCGATCGATGTGGACATTTTAAACCGATTGCGCCAAAATGACGAAGAAATCCCGACGCAACCCTCCAATGGACAACGAAACGCTTTCAGCGCCGATTCATGAAACTTTAAAGAAAATTATTTCTCTCTCGGAGTTTCGTGGTGCTTCAGGTGTCGTCATGTTTATGATGTGTCAGGATCGGATCCCGGGGCTCCCTAGGGAGAGCTAGTGTCCGACCGGCTGAAAATTGGACGTCTTTGACGACGTGTTCGACTCGGAAGTCTCTGCATGTAAAAGGACGCTTATTTCGTCACCCCCATTGATATTCTGGGCGATATTGGCCTAGCCGAAATCCGCCCTATAAATATTGGATTTTTAATCCGGGACACAGTCAGGATAAGTAATTCGGGAAGCACACGCGGTTAATATTCGGCTCTAAGTTGATGTCGTATTCTGAGTTTTGTTTTCGTTTCAGGTGGGTACTACATGATCGACCGCAAAATGCTGCGTCTACAAATCATCGTTTTGAATACGAACCTCATGAGAAGAGGCGACAACGACGAGGAGGCGACGGAACAATGGAGGTGGCTGCATACCGTGTTAGAGAAGTTTCAACTGGACCGTAAAACGGTGAGTTCTCTTTAATGAGCAGAACATTAGTCCCTTGAAGAAGTCCCTAAATAATAATTATTATGCAACTTGAACAGTTTATTATCCCGAGGGTAATTGCAAGTTACTTTGCGTAGACTTTGTGACATCTACATTAGGAAAAATGTTCATTATCGTCGCTGGCGCATTAACAGGAGCATATTTTAAGACACGAAACAGAGTCCATACGCAAGGAGTAAAGACATATTGTGGCTGATACCCACTTGACTCGATTCATACTCTTATCTCCTCTTATTAGGTGTAAACGAAATCTTGCGAACAAGTAGGAGGATGAGATTTGCCTTCAGAGAATCGAGGACATGTTATCATCATGTAGTTCTAATGGCATGATCGGAGCTCTCTGAGAGATTTTGAACCTTTACAGTATTTGGAATATTTTCACAAATTCAGTAAAATGTTTAGAATTTTTAAAATCGAGTAAATTTTTGAAATTTCCAGAATTCAACGTTTTCCACAGTTTTCAAGATTTCTAGGTCTTCCAAAATTTTCACACTTTCTATAAATTTCCAGATTTTCTAAAATTAATAGACCCCAAGAGTCTTTAAATTTTGAAATTTTTGGAATCTCTGGAATCTTTAGAATCTCTGGGATGTATAAATAATAATTAGGGTGTTCAAGATTCTTCAGATTTTTACGACTTTTAGATTTTTAGAATTCTTGTTTGGAATCTTTAAAATTTTTGGCATGTTAAAAGTTCGTGTGTTTTTTACAAATTATAGAATCTTTGAAACATTTGGAAGATAAGGAGGAAAAATGGAAGGAAACAAAGCAAAGAAAAAGGAAAGGGGAAGAGCAAGCGGGGAAATAGTAATGGGAATTAGAGAAGAAATGCAAGAATTGGAAAAGGGAAGTAATAATAAAAACGGGCTAATGAAGAAAGTAATACAGCTGAATAACAATCGATGGGAAATAATAAACTTTTATAGCAAGAAAATGGAGGAAGCCAAGATAAACATTGAAAAGGAAACAAAAGAAAAAGGAGATGAAAAGATACTTATAGGAGGGGATTTTAACGCAAGACTGGGGGATAAGGGGACCACAATTATAGATAAAGAAAAGAAGATCAAAAGACAAAGCAAATAACAAAGAAGGGAAAATATTGTGGAAGATAATAGAAGAAATGGGATGGGAAATTTTGAATGGAAACAAGGAAGAAGATAAAGAAGAAGAATGGACGAACGTAGAAGCTAGAGGAGAATCAATTGTAGACTATGGGATTGTCAACGAAGAGGCGTGGGAAGAAATAGAGAGTTTCAAAGTGGGGGAAAGGGTAGAATCAGACCACATGCCACTAGAAATAAAAATCAAAGAGTACGAAAAACAAGAACGAAGAAACGAAAGAAAAGAACTAGAAAAAATAATATGGGATGAAGAGGGAATTCAAAGATACAGAAGTATACTAGAAAAAAAGAAATTCGAAATAAAAGAAGATATAGAAGCTATGATAGCAGAACTGATCAACTTAATTGTAGAAGCTACGAAAAAAAAAAAGATATACGTATGGCAAGGGAGGAATAATGGATGGAACAGAGAATGTAGTGAGTTGAAGAGAAAAGTAAGGGAAAAATTAAGAAAATGGAAGAATAACAGGGGAAGGAAAGAAGAGTACTTAAAAGCAAAAGAGAATTATTGGAAACAATGTTAATAAAGAAAAAGAGAAAAACGAGAAGAAGAAGAAAAGACAATAAAGTTCCTGAAAACAGAAGAAGAAGTATGGAGATATATAAATAAGGAACGGAGAAGGAAGACTAAAGTCAGTAGGAAAATGAAAATACAATAATGGAAAAGAACGAAGCGTGGATGTTCGGGACAGAAAGAGTGAAAGAAAGGATATGGGAAGTGGTAGATGGAGTTTGGAAGGGAAAAGGGTTTCCCCGGCAGTGGAGAGAAGGTATAATAATCCCATGTTATCAGACGGTAAGGCAGGGTTTAGGAAAGGAAGAGGTACTATGGACAATGTGTTCATCCTGTGGCATTTAGTGGGAAGAGAAATAAGGAAAGAGGGTGGACGAATGTACGCATTGTTCATAGATTTCAAAGCAGCGTTTGATAGCATGAATAGAGAAAAAATGTGGAAGTATTTGAGGAGAAAGAGAGTAGATAGATGCATACTTGGTGACGAAATTGGAAGAAATATATGAAGAAACAATAAGTAAGGTGAGAGTGAATGGAATAGAAAGCGAGAGTTTTTATACAAATAGAGGAGTGAGACAGGGATGCCCACTCAGTCCCGCATTGTTTGCAGCTTATCTAGAAGATACAGATGAAATCTTCAGAAAAGCACAGACAGGAGGGTGGTAGTAGGCAAAAAGAAAGTGTGGTCGCTGGCGTACGCAGGTGATTTGGCAAAAAAAGAGAAGAAATGAAAACAATGATTAAAAATTTCGAGAAGTACGTACAAAAAAAAGAATTGGAAGTGAATATAGAAAAAACAAAAATGGTGGTGTTTGGGAAGAAAGTAAGAAAGGAGAAGGAAGAATGGGCATGGAGAAGGAAGAAGATTAAACAGGTGAAAGATTTCCAGTACTTAGGATATACATTAAAGAACAATAACTCAGATACAGCTCATATTCAAGAAATGGTCCGAAAAGCGAACAAAGTGATACGAATAGTATGAGGAATAGGAGAGAGAAAATTTGGACATCATTATAAGAGAAGAATGATGATGTTTGATAGTTTGATCAAAAGTGTATTTACGTACGGAGCTGAGATTTGGGGATGGAGGGAATATGAAGAAAAAGAGAGAATGCAAGAAAAATACATAAAATGGACATTGGGATTGGAAAAGTATACGCCGGGGTATATAGTCATAAGAAACAAAAAGGGAAAAAATGAGAGTGGAACTGGGTAAAAGGGCGGTTGCATTTGAAGAGAAGTTTAGTGAGAGAAGTGATTGTAAAATATTGCAAGAATGTTGGAAAGAAATAAAAAAGGAAGGGGAAAAACATGTTTGGAACGAAAGAGACAAGTATTATGAAGGAAAGGGATATGAATGTGAAGAAATGGGAAGGAGTATGAAAGAAGAAGTGAGTGTAAGAGATAAGGATATAGATAAGTAAGAACGTAGATCGAGAATATCAGAGTCTAGATATAATGCACAGTATAGAAAAATAGTAAAGAATGAAGTACGAAAGTACACACGAAGAGAAAATAAAGGAGAAAAGAATGATGTCGAGATTCAGGTGTGGAAACGAAGAGAAAGAGAATAATATATATATAATAATAATCCTGCTGTTCAAAAAATACTAATACTCAGGATACTCTGAAACATGTTTCTAATTTGTTGTAAAGAAATAAGTATTATGTAGTTAAGTTCCGTCCCCTTGATTCACGTCGAATTAAAAAAAATCATTACAATAGAGAAAGGGCGGGTGGGGGGGCTTATATTTTTCCGTTTTGTTTTAATATGTGTAGACTTCTTTTCACAACAAAAAACTTAAAACATGTTTAAAATGGAAAATTTGTATAAGGAAATATCGATTTAGGAATTAGGCTCCACCCCATAATTGCAAAATCCATATTTCCTTGCAAAAATGTACCATTTGTAAGCATGTTCTAAGTTTCTTGTTGTGGAAATATGAAAAAAGGGCAAAATATAAGCCCCGCCCACCCGCCCTACTCAATTCTGCTGATTTGTTTTTATTCGTCGTAAGCCGGCGGGTGGAGCCTAATCGTAAAATCCTTATTTTTCTACAAGAAATGACTATGCGAAAAGTGTTCTTATGTAATCGTATAATACAAAGAAAACTAAATGTATTAATTAGAAACAAATTGTCAGAGCGAGAGGCGGAGCGTAATTGCAAAATCCATATTTCCCTGTACAAACTTACCATTTTAAACATGTTTTAAATTTCTTGTTGTGAAAAGAAGTCTACACATATTAAAACAAAGAGGCAAAATGTAAGCCCGCCCACCCGCCCTATCTCAATTGTAATGATTTTTTTATTCGCCGTGAATCAAGGGGGTGGAGCTTAACTGCAAAATGCTTTTTTCTTTACAAAAAATTAAAAACATGTTTTTGAGTATCGTGTTATTCAAAGAACACTACGTATTTTAAGAAAAAAAGGCAAAATATAAACCCCGCCCACCCACCCCTCTCAATTGTGATGATTTTTTTAATTCTTAGAAACCTAAAACACGTTTAAAATGGTACATTTTTGTAAGGAAATATGGATTTTGCAATTAGGCTCCGCCCCTTAATTTGCCAACGAATGAAAACTTCATTACTATTTAGATCAAGGCAGGTATGGGTGGGACTTAATCTTTAGTTTTAATCTTTTCTTAATATATGTACATAGCATTTTTTTTAACACGATGCTCAAAAACACGTCTTACATGGTAATTTCTTGTAGAGAAATAATAAGGATTTTGCAGTTAAATTTTGCTCCCTCGGCTCTCGACGATTAAAAAAAAAATCATCACAATGGATATAGGGTGGGTGGGCGGGGCTTATATTTTGCCTTTTTTCTTCTTAATATGTGTAGTCATCTTTTCACAACAAAAAACTTGAAACATGTTTAAAATGGTAAATTTGTATAGGAAAATATCTATTTTGCAATAGGGTATTCCACGCAAAGCTAAAGTAGAAGTCGCCACCACCGAAAGGGCACGAATTTGTAACCAAAGGTTGGCAACAGCCAAATTGACATTTGTGTTGTGTGTATTTGTCAGCTGCCTTGGTTAATCAGTCTTTGTACATTTTGTATGATTTGAATAAAAATTTACTGTTAATATATCTACTAATACATCCGCCGCATATAGAGGGACAACTTTACCACATGAAAGTCACTATATTTGACACTTTTTGGTCATTTTGCCCTTACAGACGTGGAGCCTCTAACGGTACAAAGTGCCAGAGAAATACCCTATTACGCAATTACGCTCCGCCCCTCGGTTTTACAACGAATGAAAAATTCATTACGATTGAGATCGAGACGGGTGGGTGGGGCTTCTCTTTTGGT